TTTAAATTTAAGCATTTTCTGAAGGCAGATTTTCACAAAGTGGAATTATTTAAGTCATTATTCACCCGTTTTGTTGTGCCAAATGCATCCGACACAGCTTTCACAGCAGTGGTCCCCAAACTTTTTCCTGTGAGGGCCACATAAATTTTCCCTTCTCTGGTGGGGGGCCGGAGATTGTTGACTGGGGGGAAAGAGGGGGGTGCGTTTCACTCATGGTTTTTACCCAGAAAGCACATGGGCAAAAACCATGAGTGAAACGGTCACTGGGACTGACTAGTATATATAGCATTGAGGGAATGTAACTTTAACATATTAATTTCTCAGATGTTAACATAACGGCTTGTTTTGAAGTATAAGTTGCTACTTACAAGCATTGCTTCGAAGAATGCGGCGTTCATAACAGACACGTGCGTTCATCCGCTCTACCGCTAGCAAACCACGTACTGATTAAATAACATAAGTTGAGCAGTTCCCTAAAAGTCCAACAGATGGCAGCAATGCACCACACAGTTTACAGGACACACTTCCTGCTAAAGAGCCCCCTGGTTGTTGAAGAAAAATCCACATATAAACCGGAAAATACAATAAATGAAAAAAAAAATCTGAATGCTCTCTGGTATTGTTCAGGGGGCCGGACCAAATGTGGAGGCGCGGGCCGTAGTTTGGGGACCCCTGTTTCACAGACTCGCATCCAATGAGACTTTATGCCCCTCATTCTTCCTCTGGCTGCGAAGACTTGGGCTTTTAAGTTGATAACCTTACAGACCTAATGGACGACTTGTTGGATAATTTTCTTGCCTGTTGTCTTTACCTCAGTGTTGGCTGACAAGGTAAAAATGTTTTTGAGTAAAACATTGAGTGGCACTACTTCTGCCATTATAACTGTTGGCATGGTTTGTCTATCGAGGTTTGCTCGGGGAAAAGCCGACGGCGTGACATTTCTTCTTCTCTTCTATAATGACGGATGGTAAACAACTTCCAGGTGCATACCGCCACCTACTGTACATGAGTGTGTAGCAACATTACCTCACGTCCATGAAACTGGATCTTAAAAATAAATAGTCATTTGATTAATCTATAAATATCCTCTGTGTTCCTAATATTCCTTCAAGACTCTATTCCAGTCATATCCTTCTTACTATTTTTCTCAATCAATCCCTTTTTGGCTCGTATCTTTTACAATGCATCAATACATCTTGTACATTTTCTTTTCCTCCTAGACCCCTGAGTTAAATGGCAACATTTGTCCATTTTTGAGTTTTTGGATAAAGATGTTGTTAAGTCCTGTTTTTAAAGTCTGTGCCGTTTCATTTCGACCAAGTTGTTAACATAAGCTGGTCTTTATGTCTCCTAATTCTCTTTTTAATGCAGCAACATTGTTGTATTTAAACACAAAATTTTACACATTTTAATTGAACAAGTCTGCAGATAGACAAACCAACAATTTTCAGCCGTGAACTTCCTGTTGAGCAATCATCAACAAGTTGAAGCAATATTAAAATATTTGCAGATTAAAAGAATAAGAATGATCTCCAGATTAGTGTCTCCATAAATCAGCGTCAGAATACCAGCTTCAACTAACAGGAGGCTAAAATATCCTCATGTGATTTGTCTGGTTTCGTCAACTACGGTGTTGAACTCTGTCTGCCCCCTGCTGTTCTTATGGCATCAATTAAAAGCAGTTTTCTGTCATCACCACTTGTTTAGAAACCTCTTTCATTGGAAAACTCTATATATGTGACGCCAGCTTATTTTTAGCTGCTAAACTGTACATTTATTTCTGAGGCCACAGATTATATCTTCACCTGAAGATGACCATGCTAGGCAGGTTTGTTGGTATTAGTCAAGTTAACATGCAAATTTCTACAAAGTGCCAGGGAAAAAAAATCTAAATCTAATTATAATTAGATGACACAATCAAATGATAAAGGAATAATAAAGGCTAGAGCATAAAATGTACAATTACTCAGATAAGTGTTATTTATTTCATTAACTTTCTCTGCTTTATAAGTAATACTCCTTCTATCCTTTTATGTCTATGTTTGTTCATTTTTTATCTTTTTCATGCACATGAAGTCCAGTATTACCATGTACTATAGTTAAATTTAACTTGATATTTAATATAACAGCATGTGTGCTGAAAACCTTCAGTTTGAGACAGAAATATCTGAAGGACTCTACAGTGCTGCAGAGCAGTAAAAAGAAAACAGAACCTCTGGGATGTTGAGAAACAAGCTGAAAATATTGTAATGGCAGCTTGGGCAGACAGCCAGACACCTTGAGACAGAACAAAGCACATTCAGCGAGTGGGAAGAGAAGAAGCTAAACCAGAACACAGGCATAAAAGGGAAGGGAAACTACAAAGATGGCTACATCTAAAGATTATCTGACAGGGTAAAATCCCACTACAAAAGGCTCATTAGCAGTCTGAGCCACACTTCAAGGAGAGGGTTTGTATCTGAAGGCGGCAGCAGCAGTGTACAGTCAGGGTCAGCTTTCCCTATTTAGTCCATCAGTGTGATAACTGAGATAGTTGCAGTCAGCACTATGACTGTATTGATTAATGGACAGCACTATAGGAGGAAGTGATGCTGGTTATTATGGGATTAAATGTATGCACACAAAGTCTTAACCACACACAAGCCCACATGAAAAGGCAAAACAGACTGCAAGACTGCGGTGGACTGGTAATGACATTTAACACAAATGTAACCTAAAATCTATTTATGAATTTATGAATTTATGAAGTAGGGTTATGACTCAGCTTTCCCTCCAAAGCTTTAAGGTGAGTAATCCTCCTCTACTGCAGGGCTAAATCTGACACCGTCTCACTTTCATGGTGTGTTTGTCTGTTTGCTTTCAAAGGCCAAAGATCTGATGTTCTATAAACCTTCTTAAATACTGAACTCTTCCAGATTTACTCTGCATTGGCTGCTTTACTATATATTTATATATTATTGAATTATCAAGGGTGGAGTGCAGGGTCAACATTACGAAGCAGTGTGTCTTAAGTCCAGACAAGGCTTTGTGTTAAATTTAACCACAGTGTTTTGGCTTCTAATCTTTTTACGAGAAAGCTTTGATGCAATTTAAAAAAACATTTACGAAAACATTGATGTCAAAAGAAAGTAGAAAGTCAGCATATAGGTTTTCTTAGGTCCAAGGGGTCACACCCATGTTGTCCCCTCTTAGCCCCCTCTTGGAGTAACCCCCTCTTACTCCAAACTGGAGTAAGAGGGGGTTAATTATTTGCTGTTTTATCTAGAATTATTTATTTATGCAGAATAACCTGACAGAAATCTATGCATTTGATCAATCAACAAATCTTGGCCACAAGCTCACTGATTTGTCTTTTTTTTCCCCCAGGTATTTCCTGTTTTAACTATATTTTATTGGAAAAGATGTATTCTGTTTTGGGCACAAATAAATTAACAGGTGTGAACCAAAATTGAATCAGAATAAAACTGAGCTAAACTGTGCTGGAATGTGATCCAATGCAGAGATTTCTGATACAAATGGGATTTATGAAGCCATATCTTTATCAATGAAGGATAAAATGTAAGGAGTCTAATCATTTCAGCAAGTATTTATGGGAAATTTCCAACGAACCAAAATGGTTGAACAGCAGAAGAAAAATCACACTGAGCTACATAGAATGGGGAGTGAGTTAATTGGAAGCTGTTTATTAGTCCATGTCTAATAAACCATTTACTGTAGACTTAAAGTAAATGAATACCTGAATGACTGCATATTTACTCTAAGAACAACAAAAACAGGAAGATGTTTGTTTTTTTTAAAAATAGAAGTTTATTCATGATCTTCTGCATTGTTTATGCAGATATTTAACAACCAAACAGAAATATAACAATGCAGACCTTGTGACCATAAACCTACTTAACACACAACAATGCATTGCTAAACTGGAGAAAACTGAGAGAAAAAAAGGAAGCAGAAACGAGTTTAGACAGAAATATTTACAAAGAACAGAGTCAGAGGCGCATGTTCTCCCTGTGCATGCATGGGTTTTCTCCGGGTACTTCTCTTTCCTCCCACAGTCCAAAAACATGACTGTCAGGTTAATTGGCCTCTCCAAATTGTCCCGAGGTATGAGTGTGTGTGTGTGCATGGTTGTTTGTCCTGTCTGTCTCTGTGTTGCCCTGCGACAGACTGGCGACCTGTCCAGGGTGACCCCGCCTCTCGCCCGGAACGTTAGCTGGAGATGGGCACCAGCAACACTCCCGACCCCACTGAGGGACAAGGGTGTAAAGAAAATGGGTGGATGGATGAGAGTCAGAGGCGCCCTCTGCTGGGCCACTATAAGAATCTCAGTCATGTCAGGTAAACGCATTTTTTGTTTGTTTCAGATATACTTTCATTGTTAATTTACTCTTAACAGGCATGTGCAGTGGGGCGGGGGTCAATTTTTTTGTTATTTTTTTCCAAAGCCCTCTTCTGACACATATTACAATTATTTGTTTTTTTGTTGGGGTTTTTTTGTACAACATACAGTAGTAAGCCCTCCGGTCACCTTGTTACCTTTGACCTTTTGCCCATGACGCATGACTCACATGCCTCTTGCACAGTGAGATAAGGCGGCTAACTGGGGCTCAACGTAGTAAACGTTCCAGATAACAGAACAGTTTTGTTCTGAATTAAATTATAATGTTGGTGAATTTTAAAAAAAAAGAAAATTTTTGGTGAATAAAGTGGAGTAGACTTGCTACTTGTCAGATGACAGGAAATGTTGAATGTATCGTTCAGCTCTTCTTTTTTTATAGATTACAGTACATTAAAAGGTTGCATTGTGCCCTTGCTTATATTTTTAATAGTGTAATTCTGTAAAGACAAAATATGTCTGGTGGTCTAGCTCTGATTTACATATATTGCTAAATTGCGAGTTTGACTATTGCAATTCTTTCCTTTAACAAAATAGACCTGCAGAAAGAAATTACTAATAAAGTATCTGACATATGTATAGTTGTATGCTCTATATAGAGATGTTCCTTAGCTTTGATTGTATATCTCAGAATTTTGTAATTTGTCATTGTTAATTAAACTCTGAAAGCTGTGTGGCTTTAATATTCTGACCTAGAATGCAGTTAGATGTGCCGTTCTTTGTGAGCACCTGCCCCTCTAGTGGTCTTTGCACAGCCCTGACTATTAACAGAGAAACCAAGAACTAATGGAACATTTCTGCAGAGATGATGAATGAACATGAACACACAAACAGTTCTCTGAATTTCACACTGTAAATTCGACCATAATGAGAAAATATTTGCATGTGAACAGGATATCTGACTTTTGTTCACATTTTACACAAGAGTGTGAAAGATGACAGCTACACAAACAGACACCAATAAAGCAGTAGTACATATTCAGTTCTCCACAAATATTGTTCTGATTCATCTCCCTACAGTGATTTTTTTCAGGACAATGAAAATACCAAAATGGTTGAACTAGATCTTTGAAATATACAGTTTAACAACATTGAGCTTTCAGATCAATGTTGTGGATTGTAGGGGGGCAGATCAATTTCATCTGAAGGTAGTGGAGGTGCGCTAGGCTGATTGGAAGGACTGAGAGAGTACATCGCCTGCCATGGTACAAAAGGAGCTGGGTACCATGGAGAAGCTGAGGAAACAAGAAAAAATTATTAATTTATCTTTTGAACAAATAGCTGTCACACCCAGAACATAGTAGTGAGGGGCAAAGGTTTAGAGCATGATGTATCAGATGTACAGTTTCTTTTGCTTGTCATAACAGAGACATGTCGTTTTATATTATTTTGTGTACAAATTCCAAGCTGTTTTAACACTACACCTCTCTGCTACTTTAACTTAATTCAACATCAGGAAAAAAAAAATGTTGCTTTCCACATAATTTTCTGGATTTATTGTTTCATTAGAATGCAAATGTTAATGCCTGAGCTTCAGAAGGATACAATTTATTTCCAGCTGTTAATATTGTTAGATGTGTAATGGTTCCATTTAGCACAGAAAATTGATATAAAAGCAAATCATTTGAGCTGGGTTGCCTGATGCTAATTGGAAGCTCCCATAAATCACATTTTGTTTTGGCACCCATACACATCAGGACCAAATCTGACTTCATGTTAAATGAAAGGACTAGAAATATGCTGAAAATTGATTTATTCTCAGTAGACTGACATGGACTTCTAGGATTATCCTTTGATTGTCTTTAGTCGTACAGTCAGAGGTTGAAACAAGGTTTGGCAGCTAATGAAACAACTTACTGCACTCCATATATGATGGTGGCGGAGTGTTGGGCGCCGTGGAGCCTTCGTCTCCTGCCACGCCCTGGTAATCTGGAGGCTGTGCTTGATATCCAGATGGTGAGTAGTGAGGCTGGGGGATGTTGGCTGCAGTGTTTGTTACCACTGGAGAAAGCAACACATTTAGTTTGACTGTTACACAATCACCAGATATGTTTGTTGACTTAACATCAGAAGTTAAAGTTTTACCATTTTACACAGCAAAACATTTTTGTATTAAAGCAATATCATCAAGATTGTGATTGATATAATCTACGGATTTTACTGCTGCAAAAGAATTTATACTGCTTGAACTTTTTCACATTTTGTAAATTCACAACAACAAATGCTTATGTGTTTTATACGGATTTTGTGTGATGGACCAACACAAATTAACCCTCAAAGTGAAAGTTTTCAACTTTTTTAATGGAAAACATAAATAAACTTTAGTTTAAGTCAAAGTAGTACTTTCTAGAAGCTATGATTACAGCTGCAAATCTTCTGAGCTATGTCTACCAGCTTTGCAAATCTAGAGAATGAATATTTGTGCTTTCTTTGTAGCAAAAAAGATTTGAACTCAGTCAGATGGAGTGTATGATTTTGCTCTGGAATCCATCTTAAGCTCATAAATATGCTTTTTTCTAAATCATTCTGTTGTGACCCATGCTGTATGTTTATGTGTGTTTCTTGCTAAAAGAGGAACCTGAGCCTCCAGTATGTGCTTTACAGACTTACAGGTTTTCATCCTTGATTGCTCTCTAGAGCCATGAACTGACAGCTTCACTACTCCTGTAAAAGGGAAGCATGCCCACAGCATGATGATGTCACTGTTATGTTTTACCATGTACCAGGTGTTCTTAGGGTGATTTGAGGAGTTAGCTTTCTGACATACAAGAGGACCTTAGCCATTGGTGGTAAGGTTGAAACAAGGTTCGGCAGCTAATGAAACAATTTACTGCGGTCCTCAATTATGTGCCTTTTTTTTCTAAAATATTTGAGAAACTAAATGCAGCTTTGGAAGCTAAAATACCTCAGCTCAATGCTAGTGGACACACTACTTGCTGCGTTTTGCAAGGCAGCAAATCCAGGAGCACCGTTTACTTTCCTTTCTGCACATTACCTGTATCTCCAAGAGCAGAGATAATAAAGAAAGAGGATGTTAGCTTCTGTGGCATAGTGACGAGATGATTTCCATCATGCATATTAATGCATGTTAAAGCTTTTTGGGGTTTGCAATGGTGGCACGTTCCATTTTCAAACAAAGTGTTGAACACTGCTTCATTGGATCTTCAAAGCTGGGAATATCTTTGATTTGTCTGCTCTCTTTTTTGGTTTTCATGATGGTGTTTGTTTACTAATGTTCTACAAAAAATCTCTGAGGGCTTCACAGAACAGCTATATGTATGCTGAGGTCAAATTACATCCTGTTTAGAAACTGATATCTAAAGGCAATTGGTTACACCGAAATTTACGGATAGAGTAAATATATTCATAATTGAATAAAAATTCAGACCATCTTTATGCACGGTCTGAATTAAAATGATTATCACAATTTTCAGATTCTGTTCCATGTTCTTCTAGCTTTACTGTTCTTTGTGTTGCTCAATCATAAAAAACCTAACATAAAAAATATTATATAGTTTGATATAGAGTTTGGGTTTATAACATGACAAAGTATGAAGAGGTTCAAGAAGTGTGAATATTACTGCAAGGTCCAGTTTTCTTATCTTTGCAACACTGAAACCTGTTGATTGTAGAAGGTAAAGTGGAGAAACTGGCTTACCTGTCTGTCTTTGGTTGCGTGGTTTTCTGCACAATTTGTAGAACCAGCAACATGGAGCGAAGAAGCAGGTGATAAGACACACACAGGTGATGATGAGAATAACTCCAACACTAACAGCAACAAAAATATTTGTTATCATGGCAAAATCAGCGTCCATGGATTTATAGTGGCCGACCCTTCAAAAAAGGAAAGCAAGCAACATTTTCACAACATTTTTTGAAAGTCACACAATGAATCATGACTAAATATTTGGTAATGAGAAAGAGAAAAACAGACACACCAGTTTTAACAGTTAGCCTATTGCTCTTCAGTGAAACGCTCATTTTTGTTTCTGCAACATTATTTATTATTGCATTCACTACAGCAATACTTCAAATTATGGTATGTATTTTGTGAATCTGTGTACGAAGTGCAATACTCTGCTGTGAAACAGATTAAGAGAGATTAGACTGTTTTAAAAAACTAGATGTATCATTAAAGTGTAACAGTCATACTTGTGTAGTGGTATAGAAATAGACATAATTTCACACAAA